ATTTGTTCCCTAATGAAGCCCATTGGTCAAATATTACCCTTTTATTAGGTAACTTACCCCAAAATATTAATCTAATGTCAAATGATAGACAATCAGTATAAGGTGGTCCTACTGCCAAGATAACACTGAATGCTTATGCACCAAACCTTACTCTTTGAATCAAATTCCAAATTTGACACCAGTAGTCATGATATTTTCTTACCCAGGAGCACACATTATAGCAGAAAAATTCACATCAGAGCACTTATTTTGCAGGGCAGCTAATCGATCTCATTATTTTGCCTCACGGCGCCCCTATAGATCATGCCACCTGGGGTAGAAAAGAAACCTGCCACTTGCTAAAATGTTGTTTTACGGTTGCATATTTCTTTAGAATCTGATGAGGTTTTCCTTATCTTGTATTTTCAGGCAACACGGACAGCAGATTAATGAGGAACAGACGACAGAGTGTTAATTTGGTAAGAAGATGTGTTGTTATTGGGAGTATGATGAAAAGCTTGTAGTTTTGCACATAAAACTACAAGTTGGAATTTTGCCTCGTTAATTTAATCACAACAATGTTGAAACAGCAGGAAACGGTTAACTAAATGGAATAAAATATACCACTAATTGCATTTAAAGTGTATGCATTACAACAGTACAACAGACCTTTTTGTTTGTTCATGAAAACAAATCCTAAAGCTTCTTACGAGTTCAGTGTCATCAAGTCAATGTCATATCAAACTCAAGTAGAACCAAACAATATTTAGTCTGCTCTTCACAATCACAAAGGACTGCTTGGCATTTTATTAGATTTCAACTATGCAACAACAGACTTTCCATACCGTTGGTGGATGCATCTGATTTAGATTTTAATGATTGAAATACACAGAGTGGGTGGAAAATCATACTGTATAATAAGATCTAGAGTGGGGAAAATATGCAACAAATATTACCTTTACAATATTGTTTAATATTGCAGTTGGATGTTTTTCTACAACTGTGCTATCCTCAAGAAAGAAGAATGCATGGCAGAATGTAGTTTAATATATTATGAAAACAAAGAGGAAAATGCAGCATTTTCTGAAATGTGATGACGAGCTTTAAAAGCCTCAGTCCATCACTGCATCAACTGCAAAAATAAAAAATCAAAAAATCAGCAGATGCAGATTGTCTCAATTCCTGCCAGAGAATTTGTGAGCAGATTTGTGGCCTGTTTTCAAGCATATTAGATTGGGTACGTTATCAATTGCAACAAGCTAATGCTAGCTATTGCTGGCGTTAGCATTAACCAGATAAAAATCAGGCTTTTTCACCACTGAAAGCTGACATGTTCTGGACTTACCATACTGACCTCCAAAAGACACCAATGCACACCAAATAGCAGACAGCATCAAAAATCTTTAAATGCCAGGAGGTTAACTTTAGGGAATGTCATGTCAGTAAAAGTGTTTCTTTTTTTTTCTCCATGCTGTAATAAATTTGTAAAATATCAGAGACATACAGAAAAGACAATAAAAACCACTGCTGCTGTTGTTGTAGCATACAAAGCAAGAGTGGGCAGGCTCAGAGTAGGCTGTTTTATGTTCTTCTGCCAGATACTGTGCACAGATACACCCAAGACAGTTGTTAAAAAATATCCACTTTGAAAACCACTTTTCTCCAATTACAAAGCATGTGGGTAAGAGGAGAATGTCCTACAGTGGTATTACAAAAAAAAAGCATGTACAACACTAATGCACCTGTCTGATCAAATGCGTCTTTGTCTCTTTTCAGCCCTGTTTAAATACAGTACGAGTTCAAAGCTACCAGGATGAGTCGTACGTCCCCATGGCGTCCCCTTCTCCCTCTCTTCCATCTGTCGAAGGTGACAGCTACATCCCCATGAGCCCCAGGACTTTCAGCTTCCTCGGTACAAACTCCAGAGCTGAGTCTGCCTCGTCACTCAGCCCAGTAATGTGCCAACCTGGAGAAATTGCACCACCTCCAGTTCACCGGCACCTCAAGCCTCGCTTACGGAGAGGTGAGAAGAATTTCAGGTCTGAGTGTGAAAAAAAGAAAAAGAAAAAAAAAAGAAGCTAATTTAGGTCTGATTTTTATCATGGCAACAATCATCTGGGAATTATTCAGCATCTCTCAGAAGTATTCATTCACCTTGAACATATTGTCATCAAGGCATTTTATCTGGGTTTTATTTGACACACCAACACTACATAAATCTGTAGTGGAATAACAATAAAAACGTTTCATTTTTGGTAATTTGAATTGTTTTCATGTAGCCATGAAAATTTATCCTGCAGATTTTATTTTGGTTGATTTGTCTTTTGAGGAACGGGGGGATTTTTTTTCCCTTCAGTTTTTGTAAACATGGAGTGTTCTGTTAAAGGAAATGCATATATTCTCTATTTGTGAATCATGTACGTTTTTCTTTTATATAAAATTAGACATAAAAAATGTGGTTAGTTTGACTTTTAATGGAAGGTCATTATGGTTTTGCAGCTGTATATCACATATGCAGTTATATAAGCACGAGGTTTAATAAAATATATTTAGACGATGTCGATAATGTCCGAGTGCCTAACATTTTTTCACAAATGCTGCATCTTAACCACTTTCAGCTTAGTACAATTCTTAGAGTACATACAGATATTGTGGATAACGTAATGTGAGACGTTTCTTGTGAATTGGAGAAACTGCATGGACACATGGTCTATAGTGCAGCTGAAAGCAAAACATTTTCCTTTTCCTGCAACCGTTGTGCAGCAACAACTCCAGCAGGACAAGTTTTGCCTCATCTTGTCTTAAATTACAAACCAATCAAAATATGATAACGGTCAAAGGATTTGAATACTTTTCAACTGTGTTAAGCTGACAAATAGCTAACTTTGAAATTTCTGAATCCACAGTTCGACCTCCACCTCTAGACCTGAGAGGCCTTTCGACAATTACTGAATTTCCCACCCATATCCCGCTATGCAGAGTAATGACTGATTCCTGGTGAGAGCAAAAGCACTTCTCCACATTTCAGATTGTAGATCTATTACAAAACTGTGTTTAGATATGACAAAGGCACATACAATTGAAAGCAATTTACTCTAAACTGGAATTATACCTTACAAGCACTAAAACTACAAAAATAAAAATAATAGGATAGAATGAAATCATCTCTGTGGCTGGTATTTTTATTTAATCTAGATTACGTTTCTCTTTGTTTTTAATCACAGCTTTCCTCTGACCAACTCACCTCTTGACAGAAGGCTTGAAAATGGAGACAGTTCAACGGACGAAGTGACAAACTGCTCTGCACCGGTAAAATCTGGATTTGATGGTGTTTTAAAAACCGTGTGTGAATAAAGTGAACACTATGACTCAGTGAAGTGACTAGTATTCAGAAGAAATGATCAGCATTTTCTTCATACCATGAAAGCTTCCTGTGGGAGTTTGCTTGGTCTGCATGTTGATTAAGTTCAAACAATAATAATATGAACAATAGGACCATTTATAAGTGGAAAAATCAGTTGCAGCATCACATATCTAAGGAATTCTAGATTTATTTTCTGTAATCTAATTGTATTGTTGTTTCTTTGTTCTTCGATGAGTGCAGATTTGCTTAAACTTCTTGAAATACGGTTTTAATCCCAACACAGAAGTGTTTTAGAATTAGACATGGTTGCTGCTAACTCTGATCATAAATAAATGTGGCCATTTAATATCAACTAATCTGCATTTCATGGAAGATTTTGTAGGTATTTTTTTACCAGTCAATATTCTTCATTATATCTTAGTTATAAGAACAAAACTGAAAACATTTTTTCTAGAATTATCAATATTATTGCAAAAGGAAAAAACAGGATTTTAGTACTAATTTCAAATGGGGAAAAAATGTCTAATTGAGTTTACATTTGAAACTGTCTTTAGCATCTTAGGTTGTCACACAGTTAACAGGATTCACTAACTCAGGTTTCTAAAAAGCTGCCAACATTTCAAAATGAAGAATGTCTCTCGACAGAAATTCAGAAGACGAAAAGAAACTTCCCCATAAATAGTTTCCACCTTCCTATTCCGATTGTCTGCAGAAAGCTATTCTGTTTTTTCTACCACATTTATTCTGTGGTAGCCCGAATAAATGTCAGGAATGCCCATCCAGGCCTTAGAAAACATAATTTGGTTATAATGAGATTCTTCTATTTTAAAAAAAAGTTTGCATCCTCTGCTTCATTTTAAGCAACTTTCTGATATTAAAATGAAACTAGTTTGTCACTCAGTGACATTGTCAACACTTTGGTGTGATAGTACTTTCTGTGATGTGTTTATTGACCAGGAGAAAATAAAAAATAGATATTTTTTGTTCAATACATATCAGTAATATAAAACACGAGTCTTCTAACAGTTAATTCAGTCTGGAATATTGAGATTGATGTTGCATCGTTTTTCTGGCAGGAATTGAGACAATCACTCTGTCTCCCCTCGGATGGAGCAGCTCAGCACTGGAAGAGAAGCTCAAACCTTGACTATCTGTCACTGGATTTCAACTCTGCATCCCCCTCCCCTGTGCAGAAGGTATGTTTTGGTGGACAAATTAGGAATTTATTCTACTAATGGCTGCATAATTGTTTGTTTTTTATTGCTATTATCATTCTTTTTGTGTTCTTCTTGGAATTATAAATGCATGTCCCACTGTGTGATTAATGGAGCAAATAGATGTTGTTGCATGAGGGAGAGACGTGGAGTTGCATAGGGTACTTTTGGGTTGTTAATGTCCAACTTGCAATGGTCAACGAGCACTCGGCTTGGAAGCAATGTTTTATTGCAATTTGAAAACGGAGAATTTTCCTAAGTCTACAATTAGTACTTGGACCCATGTGACATGATCTATATTACGACTGTGTCAATCTCCAAACAACGCGCTGCTAACTGAGGGCTCATAATGACACAATCCCACTTTGTGAACACCCTAATGCTACTTAAAGAAAATTAACACAAGCACCGAACAGTGTTAATGCAGCGAAAAAGAATCTCACCTCATCTCTTTACCATCTCCCTCTCTCTTCTTTGTTACGTCCAGCAGAAGGCACTACTCGCTGATGAGTACAAAGTGGACTACGTGCAGGTGGACGAGAAGAAGACTCAGGCCCTACAGAACACAAAAATGGAGTGGAAGGACGTCAGGCAGTCGAAAACCTGAACACAACATGCTAGAGGACGCAATCATTAACATGAACATGAATTCAAGAAAAACAGTATTGAAAAAAAAAACAGTAAGACATTCACGTGGAGAATTAATGGAAAAGCACTTTTAAAAATAGCACTGAAATAAAAGTCACACAAAAGCCATGAAGCCATGAGATGCTTGTTTTTTCTAGAGGAAGCGCGCAGTTGCACTCTGCAGGACAGAAATGTAAATTGTACGTGATCGTGCGATGCTCACTGTGATTTTTCAGTTCATTGTAGCCTAAGATTCATTCAGTTTTGTCAAAATGAAAAAAAGGCTGTAAATATGTGTGTAAATGTAATATAAAGGTCTAAGTCTATCAAAGTGTTTGTGTTCTATAAATAGCATGAACCTGTTTGTAACTTTTCCAGGTACTCCTGCAGCATAATTCCCAGTCAAAATCATAAGGGGATTTGCTAAAGAGGGTGGGCTTGGACTCACGATGAGCTTTCTGTGGAGCCACTTGAGTCTCAGGAGGCCTTCATGCAACTCTTTGGCAGTCCATTTTTGGTTACAGCCCCTCTCCAATCTGTAAGGTTCACATTATAATTTGCTCATGTTTTTGCTTGTTTGCTGGTAATCTGAGATATGCAAAGTCAAACAGCAGATCAAAGATTTCTTTCCTGACTGGTATTTTCAAGCTAATTTCCTGCACAGCACATACCAAAACTGAAAAACATGAAATCTAAGCAGGCTGGAGAAACATATTTTTTGTACAGGTACCAAACAACTTTTGTAGTTTAAAAAAAGGGGGGGGGGGGGGTATGTTATCTTTACATATATTTTTTATTTACTTATATTTTTGAAGGATCATCTTACCTTTTATTTTTATAGCACTGTGCTTTCCCATGGTTACCAGCATGTTGCGTCATTGACATGCGCTGTGGAATGGAGAGCCAGAAAAGGAGATTTTAGAAAAAAAGAAAAAAAAAATCGGGAGGAAGTCACCGTGCAGGATTTCACTTGTGTGTGTTTAATTTGACCCAGTAGGAGAACTCAACGCGCTCAGCAGAATCAGACCCTGGTGTCGATTCGCGGTTTCGGCTGATCCGCATTTTGCCCTCCTTAGTTAAAAGAGGCTAAGCGGCGCCGCCAGCGACAGCAGCTGCTTACAGACTCGCATCACTGCCAGAACCCGAAGAGGGGACACTCAGGATGGAGGGGTGGGGGGAGCGGGCGGTGAGTGTCCTCGGCGTTGTTAGCAAGCAACCACGGCTAGCTAAATGCAGCGGGGACCAACTGAAAGCCTTTTGCTGGTGAAGCTGCAACGAGGCCTGGCTAACCCTCAAGCCCAGGTAGTGTTCAAGAAGTCAAAGCCAAGTTAGCCTTCACAAAAAATGAGACACTAAAACACATACCCGACACCGAACACCATCACCTGACCCGTGTGACCCGCACTCGATGATTACACGGTAAGTTCACGATAGGGCTGTTAGCCTTGTGCTTTTGTTTTGCTGCCTCTTAATAGCTGACTGTGGTTCTTTTCTTCCGTTCACAAAAAAAAAAAAAAAGTGAACGTCGACTCACCTTTTTAACGCGGGACTTTGGTCTAATTCAGCTGCTACATTTCAACGTGTCGCCTGTTGCTTTATTACCTGCTGCAGCTAAACAACCCAGATTGCTCATAAAGAGGAAAACGTTGCGTTCACGCGGTTTTATTTTGTTGTATAGGAAGCATACAGGTAGGATACGTTGCGCCCTTTTTTTATTCATTTATTTAACTAGAAATTAGAGTTTTGTTTACTTACCACCACCTTACAAGTTCACAATACTCCTAATCATAAGTAGATGTAAAGGTGCATTGCATTTTGCAAACTTTAATTGAATTTAAAAGTATATCAGCTTTCCTGTAAGACTTAAATATTGTAAGAAAAATCGTATGAATTTCAATTTCAGTGATAATAAATCAACGTAGTGTAAATAGGTGGACTACAGGCGAATACATTTGATGATCTACACTACTGGGGAGTCAGGTAACTGTCTAAAAATTACTAACATAATTGTGGGAAAAAAACAAGAAAAGAAAGCAAGCAACAGCTAGTTTTCACTAGGCTTTGTTTTAAATTAATTTGGTAGCTGTTTATTCAATTTTATGTTTTCTTTTCTACAGAACAGTAGCGTTTTTTGGCAGCCTTGTATCCCCTTGGTGTTCATACTAGCACTGAAAATGCCTCGGCCTCATTTTAATTATACGCAGCTTGGATATATTCTCTCTTGAATTTTTGCATGTTTTTATTAATTTACATGCAGAGATTAGAGGCCAAAGCATATAAAGTTTGGGGGGGGAAAAGTCTTTATCTTATCATACCTTTTTGGCACACTAATAGACATGATTAAAAAGACATATTGTACACATTTTAACTTCAAAATGTTTATTTTTTTTTGCGTTTCTCAAAACTTGAAATTCAAATGAAACATGATCTGTTTGTACAGATATTTAAAAAGGTAAAACACAAAAAACGTGGCACATATTCAAACTACTAATAAACTGGTCTTGAATGTAGCAAATGAAGAAGTTGACAATGAATGAAAACACTTCATCCAGCATGCAGTTGTTCCATATTGAGAATGTCTCACCGACTTGCAGACACACTAAAAGCCTATTTTTGTCATTTTTTACATGCCTTTTTCTGCAAATTTAGATAAGCCATTCTATTTTTGAAATGCATCTCCTCCCTTAAAAAACAATCAGTGAACTTCTCTTCAGTGCAAACTTTGTAAGGAATAGGGCCCAAATCGTTTCCTCTACACTCTTCATTGTCTTTTGTTTTGTAAAGTTCTCTTCTTTAGTGATACATTAAAATTACTATTTTGGGGGGGGAAATCAGTTATAAAGTAATGCAAACATTACAATCTGATATGTTTGTATTATATTCTAGATATAATATAATAACTATATTACAATAATAATTGTATTTATATTTATAATGTAAATAGTAACTATATATAATATATTATTATAATAACTATAGTTATTATTTCACAGTTTAATGCTCCATCAGCTCTTAGCAAGAATAACATCAGAATGAAACTTACTTTAATGGGGAAACTATGTCTTTGTGCTTATTCATTACATACAAAATGCATATGTAATAGGTGGAGTCAGTGGTGGAAAGAACAAGACAGAAAAGCAGAGGGTATTAGCCGCAGGGATATGAAAAGTCAAAAAAAGCAAATGGAAAAATAAATCACCAACACTATTAAATTAAATAGTCTATACTGAAAGCAATGTTCCTTCTTCATTATTGTATCCACTTTTTATCCATTGGTGGCCAACCTTCACATCTACTTGACTGTACCACAAAGTGTTCTTGACATTTTCCTACTGTGCCCTTTATAGTTAAATTCTCGTGTAACATGATCTCTGATTTTGGTTCTGATTTTCTACATACAGGGCTCAGATGGAGGAAATCAGCTGATGTTTATCCTGTTATGGCTTCTGTCAAACACTCCCCTTTCTGAAGGACACAACCATGAGTTCTTGCAAGGCGGAGGAACTACCAAGTGACGGCAAGGATTCGCCTCCTGCTGCCAGTCAGCCTTTGCGAACTGAGCCTGACATTGTCCCTGAAGAGCTCCTGTCAGATCCAATCCACGAAACTGTTAAGTCTCAAAAAGCGGGAAAATTCAAGAGGACTGCCTTGACATTTTTCGGTGTTCGTAAAAGTATATGTATTCTACCGAGTTTCTTTGGAGGGAGGAGCAAAAATCAGAACAAATGGTCCTTTAAGAAAGGAATCGGCAAAAGCAGAACACACGATGGGCTTTGTAAGGTCAGCGATGACAAAGCTCTCAGGAGTGGGCATACCTCTTCTGGAGACTTTGAGTACCACATCCACAGGGACGGAGCTGGAGATCTCCACAGTGGCTGTCAAGGGGAATGTAATCACCCAACCCCTGACCAGAAGTCACTGACCCTTGGTCGACAGAGAAAAGGCTTTAGGAGTCTTTTTCAGAGTTTTAGGCATCACAGAAGCCAGAGAAATAATGATACAAGTGAAGCTAGTGCTGTGTCTTCTCCTCAATGCAAGAAAGAGGTGCCTGTTGTCCAGTGCAACACAAACCGCAGTGCCACAGAGTTCCTAGAATGTGATCACGACGTGCCTGAGTTTGTAGAGGATCTGTGTGACATTTCCATTGGTCTTGAATGTAGTCATGCAGATGCAAAATCAAAGGAGAGCAGCATGGAGAAAGAATGCCCAAAGTCTGAGCCTCAGCTGTCTGATGACAAATACAAGGATGCTAACTTAAAGGCAGTACCTTCTGGTGGTTACGACAACAGTTGCAGACGTTCCAGTGAACCTTGTCTGAAACTTCAGACGGCGTCCGAAACACCTGCCGGTTCGTCGGATCAGCTGAACCTAATTTTTGGAGAGGTTTCATCGTTAAAGAGCTTTGATTCCCTCACAGGTTGTGGGGACATCATCGCAGATCAAGAGGATGACAGCATCACGGAAAGCACAGTGTCTGGAGAGAGGAGCAGAAATGGAGGGAAGAGAGCCTCCTGTTATCTCACCTACCAAGGTGGCGGCGAAGAGATGGCCTCGCCAGAAGATCTGGATGGAACGTGTCTTCAGGATTTCTGGGGTAGCAACACATCAGAGGTTGTCTGCTACAGCTGCGATCCGGAGCAGACAGAGATGAGCGCTGAGTTGACAAGTTTGCACAACGCAGATGCACTGAACAGCAGCACGCAGCAGGCTGGAGCGATGGACACGTCATCCATAGCTGATGTTCTAACCCCTCAAAGTGAGCATCAGGAGTCAGGTCCTAATAGCGATGAGGGATATTATGATTCCACCACGCCAGGGCCGGAGGAAGGGCAAGAAAAAAGGTCAGGCAGATTACCCAGGGACAGTTACAGTGGGGATGCCCTCTATGAACTTTTTGCACCCGATGAGAGTCTCATCAGCCCTCATTATGAAAACAAATCCCAACCTCCCAGTTCAAAACACAGTGACTACTTAACGGAGCCAGTCAGCTCAACAGATCCTGCCTTTGTCCCAAAAATTAGTCACTTACAGATAAGTGCTGATCTGTACAAAGATGATTTTCTTGAGATGCCAAGCTCATTCAGTACAAATCAGGATGTCGGGGTGAACGAAATCTGTAATCTGAATTTAAAACCACAAATATTAGTCAATACAAACAATCTCAAAGCCAAGATTTTCAATGAAAACGAGGGTATGCTTGCTTCTGCCGACAAAAACACAAAACCCATAAATGCAGAACTTGAGAAAAGATGCAGTGGTTTATCGTTTGGAAGCGCGTCGGACCCAGACTTTGAGACCTTCTGTGAACCCAAAGAAGAGCATATTGAAGAAAACAAGCCTGTGGCGCTACCGTACAAAAATATCAATTCTCAGTCTGAAGAATGCAACAGCTACATAGAGGACGGGCAGACGGTGTGTTTCTCACAAGCACTTCTGGATTACACAAAACACACCCAGTTGCTGTGCAAGCTGGGTAGCGAGGTGGACGACTTGGAAAGGAGCTCCGCCTTCACTCCAAACATGGAGGCCTTACCAACGATTGTCACATTTGATGTTGTAGACCTTCGCAACGAGGGGGAATACGACGAGCAGATCCACATGGAGCTGGAGGAGGATGTTTCATCGCCTTATCAGGAGTTTGAAGAAAGCTACCTACAAAAAGACGCATTTGCTGAATGCGACTATCAGATGTTGGACCTGTATGAACAGAATCTGATCAGCAACACATGGGCTGTTGCTAGACACCCGCGGCATTTGGGTCTTACGAGGGTCAGCCAGTCTACATCGAACCAACTGTCCCTGGACAGGAGGAGCAGGTCACTGGATACAGATAGCCTTGAGTTGCCTGAAACGTACAGAGAGAACAGACCTGCTGTGTCCTCGGAGCAGGACTCTGAGAGAAATTGTTCACCATATTATAGAAAGAAAATAGTCCTGTCCGCCTCAGAGGTGAGAGACTGTAGCAATGTTACGAGCCTTTCATGGGAGAAGAAATCAGAAGTGACTGTGACGGATGAAACTACAAAAAATATCCAGAGCCTCAGTCAAGCCCACAAGCAACCGCAGTATTTTTGCTCTGCGTCTGACGACCTGAGTTGCGATTTAGTTTCACAGAATCCAGAACTCTACAGTAGGCAGTGTCATCTTCCTTTGCGATCAGATTGCTGTCTTCCTTATGGCACCTTTGGGATGAAGGAGGAGGAATCTGATGATGTTTTCCGCCAGAGTCCTGCTAAGTTACACTCTCACAGTCAGGGCAGTAAAGACAGAGCCCTAACAGACAGGGAGGTTCTGTCCCACGCTAGAAGTCCCCTCAACTCTCCCTCAGTTAAGGAAAATACTGTTATCTTCAGTGAAGCAAAGGGAGATGGGGTGACCCCTGTGACCTGCAATAATCACTCTGAGGCCACCTGTAATTGAGTGTGAATCACATATAAATGTGCCATAGAGTGTTTTAACAGCGTGCTGGTCATTTCACCCCTTTGTCAAATCATATCTTTGTGGTATTGGATGTCTGGAACTTATTTAGATCCAAAATTGAGCTGTTTGCTCTGGAATGTTTTGGACAAACCATCGTACCAATCAGGGGAGAGCTTGCATTTACTATCAATAGTGATGTAAAGTTATTTTCTGTGGTTCATGTGACTCCAAAATAATAATATGTACCTGCAGGGTTAATTTGGTTTAATTGGAGAATTCTAATAGGTCAAGTAGTAGCTCCTTAAGTCTGTTTTCTTTTTCCTATTTTTCATGAGTTCCATATTTTACAGCCATTATTGTTTTAAAATGTACCAAGTCTAAAACAAAGGTAACCCAAAGCAAATTATTCATTTAAATTTAACAAAACAGTGTACTTATTCTTAAAAATAATAATAATAATATTTCTGCTTGAGATAGCGTTCCTGCTTATTAATGAAGTAAAGAAATTACACTTATTTCTATACTTTTCTTACGTGAACTGAAATACATGCTCTAGTTAAATATAGGATAATAGTTACAAAATTTCTCCTGTCATTATATTTTGAGTTTCTGCAAGAAAAACATCTTATTTAGAGAGTTGTCATAATGTTCTAACTGCACTTTACCTGAACACTTTATCATTTATCTCTTTTTGGCAGTCTGCTCAAATATTTCTGTAGAGTTTTCTGTAAAACCTGCATCCTGTTTCTGCTGACTATCTTTGCATACAGACATGGTTCGCTGATAATTTCTGTTTACTGGCCAACACAGCGATCAGAACCAAAGTTACTGTAATAGAAAGTTCAACAGATAGGACAGTAAGGCTATGGGACAAACTGGCAGCTTATTGATATGACATGGCGAAGGGGCAAACTGACTCAGACCGACTTTTATGTGTATCCAAAGTAGCATTTGTATCTCATTTTTTCTAGTACAGCTGATTGTTTTGAACAGTTTGACTCACTGTGATGGACAGGTGAAATACATTTTTAAAGCAATTCAGACGTGCAATAAGAAAGATAATGACCTGCTGCATTAAATAAAATGCTCTGAAGTCCGAATAAAAAAAAAAAAAAAGCATTGCTCCTTGTATGTTTGCACACGACTGTTTCAGATGCTGGCTGAAAGGGTTTGAGGAGGTGGTTGTGTAATTTTTAGTGAAAATGCCAACAGTGTCATCTCATTAAGCTACTGAATTTAACTGGAATGTTGCAGACGTTCAGGTCTCAACACTAAATCTCACGCTCTGCTCTGTATTATCGGCACACATCAGCCTGGGTTTTATGTGCTGCGGCTTCGTTTTTCCACTGCTGCCTTTCGGCAATGAATGCTTTTGCTTTAAATGTCTGACCATGTTCATGTTTACAGTCACTCTTTGCAGTAGTGAGGTCTGTTTTGAGCTCTAGATTTATCCTCAGATCAGATTATAAGGGAAAAACAGCAATGTATAAGTTCAGAGAGAGAAATATAAAATGCCTTGAATATATTTTTCTTAAACAGACACATTTTGTCAGATTTAAAATACATTGAGTGGAACTAAAAAAAGAAAAGTGCCTGTTGGCTAATTCATCTCTCATAAATAAGTGTAGGGAATATACAGATGGTTCTAGTAAACAATGGTGATAGGGTTTTAACTTTAGCTGTCACATTTCATTTACATATAGTAAGCTTTGCAAGGCAAAACGACTATTTGTTTAGCTCATTTCTCATGCAAATGGAGAAAAAGCTAAACATTGTTTATCGAAGAGATACTAAAGAGCCTCCCCAGAAGCAGTTAAATAAAGTTAAAAACATGTTTACTGTGTTTGCTGCAGGCCTGGAAATGGCAGAACCCACCATTTTATGCTTTTTTTTTTTCTTCCTGCTATCTTTTGGTTGGATAAACTTCATAATGCTAGCTAAAACCATAAACTCAGTCGTTGAATTCAAGTGTGCTGAATTAACAAGTATTGTTCTGTTTGAATCTGAAATCATATTTTTGAAGAAAGCTGGTTTCAGCTTGAATCATTTTCTTGTGAAAAAATGTTTTTAACAGCATTTTCAGAAACAATGTATTTGTATTTATATTTTCAACTACCTGTAGATTGTAATGTGGACAGAATTGTTGTTACAAATTGTCAATACTGTATTTTGAGTTCAACTTTTTTTTTTTTTTTATCGAGTTGCATTATCTGTCTGAAAATCTGTTAGTTTGTCTGAATAGAATACTGCCTTACATAAGAATAAACACGACAACAGTTTAGCTCTATTTTTGTTTTTTCCTCTTTTTTTCAGTTCACCAACAATCGGTTCACCAAGTCTGTGGTTGAAAGCGCACCTTGGCTGTGAGAACTATTGTAACCACACACATTCACACCACCAGTTAAGAGAAGTTCATAGTTTCAGGTTCAGGCACCTAAAAGTTTGTGCAAATAGAAAGCTACCTGAACTGCAAATGTGGATTACTATTAAACACAGCTCTGAATGAGATTCTCGCAAAATCATATGAATTAAAATATGGATTCATATTTTCCTATTTTATTCCTACTTGAAACAGTTGCTGGTGGCGCTCCCGTAATTTCCATACAAGGACCCTGTTATTTTTTTCCCCAATAGGAAATCTTATCATTTTTGTTGATTATTTTGCAAACAAGGGAAAAGTGTAGTAGCCTACTTTTAGTGAGGTGGCCCGCAGTGCAGAGCAGCATGTGAGGGAGGGACAGCGCTGTGTTGCTCTGTGCTCCACAGCCAGGAAAAAATACCACTCTGGCATGAATGAGTTCAACAAGTCGGTGTGTAAAAGCATGTTTTGATATGAAGGCTGTCGTTTTAAACACCTGCTACATGATGTTCCCACTTTAAAAAAGTAAAAGTTATCTTTCACATATAATATCAACTGTTGAAAAGGAGTCTTTTCAGAGTGGGCCGGTATGATGCCTTGAGTGAAGAAAATGTTATTGTTTTAGAATATTTATACTTATATTTAATGTTATAAATTACTTAGACCACTTCTGTCTACCAGTTTTGATTGGTCTAAAATAAATCCAGACAAAATCGTATCTAATTTTGGGCTATGTAACACTAACTTGTGTGTGTGCGTTCCTTCAACGTTACAATCAGGTCTACTGCTCAGTTTTGTACCACAAATCCATTCAACTCTCAGAAAGTAGAATTTATCCCTTGAAAGAGGGAAAAGTGTTGCCTTTTTTTTCCCCCAGACAGTTTGGTCAGCAGTGTGGGAAACTAATTAGATGAAATTTGTTTCATCTGATTTCTGGTCAATCCAGCATTTTGACTCATTAGAGGGACTTTCAGAAACAAGGGGAGTTGCTGTGCTTCATCAGAATAAAACAAGAATAAAGACTGAGGGGCATGTACGGTATTTACATAGTCTGCTTGTAAAATGAGCTATTTTACCTATCTAATCAGGCTTTATACGACTGTAGATCCATTCCACTCAAGCGCAGCTTCTATAAAAATATAGAACATTTTAAATTCAGTATTTACTTTTAGAATCTACATAAAAACTTTTGGAATTTGCCGCAGCCCTTATTTTCGAGGGGGTAAGTTTATCTATCGGTGCACAAACTTATAAAGAGGAGCGACCGTCTAAATTCAGGCGGAGAAGGAAAGCAAAGTTAGCGACGCTGTTGTCAGCCCGGTGCCATTTACTTGTTTCCGTCGCGTTATCTGGCAACCCCGAGCGAACTGCGACAGCGCCAATGGCAGCAAAACAGAACTGTTAGAAGCGAGGAGGATGACAGCAACAAGGTGAGAGGAGATGATGAAGAAGATGAGCGCCGTCTGAAGCCAACCATGGCAGCGAGGTATGTGCGCACTGTGAGGAGAGTCGTGATGTGTTGCTGGGGCTTCGCCGTCGTCCCAATTATTAAATGAACGTCAACTTTATCTCAAGTTACGGGTAGTAATCCGGCTAAAATTGTTAGCAGATGCTCAGCAGCTGATGCTAGCCAGCTTTAGCATCGAGGCGTGAAAGGCAGCCTGTGATTGCCCTAAGTTGGCTAATAGAGGGGACGTTAGCTAAGCAGCGTTGCATAGCTTTGATGCCGTTAACTTGAGATACCGGGGGTTGTCTGACAGAATAGTAGTATCTCCCGTCGACCGTTATTGGATCAATTTCTAGTCATTGCCCAACAGGTTAACTCGCATTAAGCTGGTAGATGTGTGTCGCTGAAACGTTGGCGGTGTTGTCTTGAGGTTAGCTCGGTGATATTAGAATGTTTGAATAGCATCGTGTGCTAACCGCAACCCGGGCCTGCGGGTGTCAAAGCGGGGGTTCTTGCTTAAATTTCAGGCTTTAAGGGAACGTTCTGTACGGAACTCTGAACAGTCGTTCAAAAAGTGACATGAATACAATTCCTCACCCGCTGTCACGTCGTTTAACTTTCCTCTATTTAGGTTGTCTACACTCAACATGTTTTTTTTTTTTTTGTCGTGTTGTCGTGTCAACTTGTTGGACGAATCTGTGCAGCATTTATTGACCCCAAAAATCAATAAAATGATTCAGGGGAGACTTTGACATTGGGTTTAGTGCATAAATTAGAGGTAAAAGTTGGTCAATGTATACAGAAAAGATATATTTAGGTTCATCTGCACTTCCAACTTTATGATTTTAGAAAATTATTAAAGCAGTAAATGTCCAGTGTTTTTATATATATATATATATATATATATATATATATATATATATATATATAGATTATAGTGGATGATTATGTTTGCATGATCAAGTTCATGCTAAGAAATATCCAGGGAAATCGAAACTGGTTTACTCATCAGTCACCCCTCTTATTTTCAGTCTGCAAGCAGCAGCACGCTCTCCAGTGCACTGTTGTATATTTGTGGAGTATGAGATGAAAAATTGGGGACATATTGACATATAACTGGAGATAATCTCATCGTACCTTTATTTTATTTTCTGTTGGAGTCAAATCTGAAACCACTATCAAAGAAACTGCTGAACATATATATATATATATAAAACTTCATCTGTACTTTGAAGAGAAGACCAAATATTGAGGCAGAACTGTGGAACACTTATGTTTCTATCTTGTGTGTTTCCCAGACAGAAAATGTGGAAATTTCTGCTTTGTTAAGGTGTAGAGCAATGATCAAGTGTTATAGTAGTCAAATCTCGTGTAATAAACCATTGAATAAAACACCAAAAGTTATTCTTTTGTGGTTACATTTTTTTTTCTAAATTATAGATTGTACCTTTTTATTTTTCTAGGTGCTGTTTTAACTTGCTTGTAAGCAGATGTTTTCCAGGTTATTCATTTGGCGTGTGTGTGGACACCAGCATTGCGATTTAGGGGAACAATTCTAAGGTGGCAATCAGCTGTTCTTCCTGACACAGCAGCAGAAATGTCACTGGTCCAATGAGTCAGATGATGGGAGCATAGTGCCATCATCTGATCAAAGCCAAAATGGTAATGGGATCATAATATTTCACTTGGCTGCATGCCCTGGAAGAAATTTTTTTTGTTGTTGTTGTTGAGGCTTACGAATGAGAAAAATCCACAATCACAAAGACATTATAGTAAATCATTTTGGTTTATTTAGTAGCATGTTTTCATTGAAACACAAAAAGGATGACAGCTTGTTATTTATTGCTTGAGCATCATCCAGGATTGCGCGATATGTTAGAAACAGCAGGTAGATTTCCTTCTAAAATATGGGGAAAATCCTGGAACATGGCTGTGCTAATGGACTTTTAAGCAGGTAAACATCTAGTCTATTGCAATATTGACTTTTCCTCTGTGTTTATTGCCACATTATTGTCAAGCTGTTTGTCGCTCTCTTTTCTCACCCTTCACTTTGCTTACAGGCAGTTTCCTGTTCTAGGAAAGCGTTTAGTCTGGAGGAGTTGCAGCATTTCTGCATAAAACAGCAAAAGAACTGAAAGCGAAACTGATCCAAATTGATATAGAAACCGGAGTGCTGATAATACGCTGCTTATCTGGAAGTAACTTTTTAAAATTTCTTAGTAATGATTTCAGAATCCGTCGGAGGAAAATCAATCTAGTTCATCTCCACTTGGTGCTGGCGAACAAAAAAAAAAAAAACCCGTCCTAGCCTGCTCCAACTTGTTGCTATGAAACATGAGATGATGCGTATGCAGAGATGGTCCAGAGGCCTTGCTGAGACACAGACTGTGAATCCGGAGGTGGAAGGGAGAGGATTTGAAAGAGCTCTGATACTTTGAACATGCGTCGACACGGTCACAAATGACTCAAGTGAAAGTAGGCAGTGTGAGTTGTTCCACCGTTTTCTGCCACCGGTTCTTCCAACTTCCACAGCGAATGCCTCAGCCACCTGCCTTTCAGCTTCCTGTTTAGATATTCAGACCACAGCCTCGCCCTTCACCACCATCGTAAAAGTTGCAATCAGATCTCGTAGGCCCACTTAGATAGAAAAGAACTTTAATTTAGCTTTTGACCGCCCCCTCCCAACACGGCTGTATGTTATTTCTTTGAGTGGATGACATTGTGATAGCACACCATGCATTTACTGCAGTCAAACTATCTTATTTTCAGTGGTTGGAAAGATAGTCAGTGTTATCAGCTTTTGTTTTTACAAAGTTTGCCACCTCTGGATGTTTTGCGTTTGAACTGCGGAGTAACCGAAAGCATTCTGCATTTGCTGGCTGTATACAGAGACATGATGAGCTGTGTTTGTGTTAGTCGTGACTGGTAAAAAGGAGTTAGCTGATGACAAGACTGTGTTGCTAGGCAACGCACATCATGGGCTGTGCCTCTTGAAGCTTGAAGCTCGCTGTACTCTCTGCAAGACTAGAGGAAAGTGTGCTCCAGTGTGTCTTCTTCATAAAGCACTTTGTATAAGTGCTTGCTTGTCAGTATCTCTGTGTGCTGTTTTTAAATGTTTTTAAATGTATTGAAGGAAAGCAGTGCTGCACAGTGTACACTGCAGAACCGCACTGCTTTACCTTAAAAAGCAGCCCGCGCGCTCCCTGTGGAATTCGGCTCGGTTCCGATTGTCTGTCGGAGGGCTGGAGGCGCAGGGATATGCTGCTCAGCCCACACGATTTCAGGTTATTCTAACTAGTGCACTCACTTCATGTGTGACTGGCTCAAACGTTGCTTGTGAGACCAGTAAGGCTCTTGTGCTCATGGAGAGCAGGTTTGTTCTGTGGTGCATTAGCACATTTTGTACCAGACCTGTGGGTTTTTCCATTTTAGACAGCAGTCAGCTGAAGAGTCAGTAAAACTTTTCTGCTTGTTGGTGGTATTATTTTATTTTCTCCAAAAGGAACATGAGCAAAGTGGTTGCTGTAGTATTTTGTTGCTTTTGGTGCTATATATAATTTATATGTTAATGCAGCATTGGGTTTGAAAGGATAAATGAGATCATTTGTTTCCATCTTTTCAATCTGACGTTAAATAAATAAATTGTCTTGATAATAAATGGGAACTTCATAAAGACACCCATATCGCCAATGCTGACGCTTTGCTCTTTTACAGGATTATAGTTCAATTTGTCTGCTGAAAAGGGGAAGAGCATCCATTTCGACCAGCGTAACGAGTCTCGATACAGAGTATGATTCCTTGGCATCGGCGGAGGTGAGGAAGCATGGCGCGAAAAGCTGAGGCGCCGAGACGGCCGTGATGACAGCATGGTCCATGGTGGAGAAGCTCAAAATGGAAAAACGCCCATGCAGGGAGCAGAACATTGACTCAAGGGAGGCCCAGCATGCCACGGACGAGTCCGAGGACGGAAGCAGCTCCGAGAGCGAGTCGGAGGAGCAGCAGTGGCGGCGGCAGCAGCAGCCCCACAGGCCTCAGCTGGGCAACAGCAGCTGCAGGAAGAGGGAGCCCCTCGCCATCACCAAACCCCACCGCCAGCTCTGCCGCTCTCCATGCCTCGACCGGCCCAGCTTTTCCCAAAGTAGCACCTTGCAAGACTTCCGCGACGATGACTCCGGCGGCGGCGGCAGTGTTGGCGCCGCATCAGGCCTCAAGCCTGTCAGCGGAAGGGAGTACCAAACCAAGATGGAGTTTGCTTTGAAGCTGGGCTACTCTGGAGACCAGGTGGAGACGGTGCTCAACAAGTTGGGGGCCACGGCGCTCATCAACGACATTCTCGCCGAGTTGGTCCGCCTCGGGAATAAAGCGGAACACGAAGCTCAACCCTGCAGTTCCACCGCCCCGTCAACGTCACGGCCCCCCTGTGTGAAAGAAACTGTCAGTCCAGAAGTTTCAGTCGAAGAAGAATCCCTGGATACGTACGATAACCTTCGACCCATCGTCATCGATGGGTCTAACGTGGCGATGAGGTAATGCAGACAATCTGACCTACATCTATTCTTATAGATGTGATCCCACTTTATTTAGTGTTGCTGTCTTCTTCCAGCCACGGGAACAAGGAAGTTTTCTCTTGTCGCGGTATTCAGCTGGCGGTCGAGTGGTTTCGAGAGAAAGGACACAAAGACATCACTGTGTTTGTCCCCGCCTGGAGGAAGGAGCAGTCGAGACCCGACGCTCTCATCACAGGTATACAACGCTTCTGTAGGTAGCTGCTGTTCTTTCACATCACGGAAAACTTCCGAACGTTAAATAAATAAATTGTCTTGATAATAAATGGGAACTTCATAAAGACACCCATACCCATATAGGTAAAATACAACCATTAAAATGAGTTAGTAATGAACAGCACCTCACACTGTTTCAACTTCAGAGTTGGTCACAGTCCAACCAAACCAACATTTTCCAAATTTCTTTGCTATAAAAACAAGTCTGCGAATGTTTTGGGGTGTGTCTGCAGATATTTTTGCTCAGTCTTCTTAACAATAGGAAGGCCATCTGTGAGGATCATATTTCAAGTTATGCCATAGATCCTCATTTAGATTTACACTTAAACTGGGCTTTTCTGATACAGTTGATTGTACATGCATTGTAGACACTTTTGCAAGTATTTTATTATTACTATTAAATATTTTCAATGAATTTGTCTTCCAGATCAAGAAATCTTGCGCAAACTGGAGAAAGAGAAGATCCTGGTTTTTACCCCGTCTCGAAGAGTCCAGGGCAGGAGAGTGGTGTGCTACGATGATCGCTTCATAGTGAAGCTGGCTTACGATTCTGATGGAATTATTGTGTCAAATGACAACTACAGAGACTTGCAAAACGAGAAACCAGAGTGGAAAAAATTTATAGAAGAGCGCCTCCTGATGTATTCATTTGTCAATGACAAGTAAGAATCCATAACAGAGTTTAGTAGAAGCAACATTAGACTTGTCTCACTGCTTGACTGAAGTAATGAATTGTGTTGAATTGGTCTTTGTTAGAAATGTGTTATTTAATTTAATAGATGTTTATTGGTGTAAAAGGCATTTTACTTAAATGTAGATGTGGAGTTTATGAACTTACGCTCAACTTAAACTTGAGCTTAAGTTTAAGTTGAGCCATTTTTTTTTAAATGTTTCAAAAAATGAAGGAAGCTCTAAAGCTTTCCAATGTTGCTAAATTGAGACAATTTTGAGAAGTCTGGCATGTGAAAGACTCACTAAAAGTCTGTATTTTGTATTTGTACAGATTTTGTGTTTGCTGTATTTTTTTTAATCTAAAACATTTAAGTGTGACAACAAACTAAAAATGAAAGAAATCTGTAACGGGAAAATGCATTTCCTCCTACAGCCTTAACTTCCAGGACACTGGATCTAATTTTAAATCATGATTTATTTCATGTTGTGGAAAATTTTCCCCATTGAATTAGTTGAAATGTTACAATTAATGGTTCTCTTTGTAACAGGTTTATGCCACCTGATGATCCGTTGGGAAGACATGGGCCGAGCTTGGAAAACTTTCTTCGCAAGAAGCCTGTGGTTCCAGAGCACAAAAAGCAGCCTTGCCCTTATGGTAAGTTCCTGTTTAAAACCATCACATCCTCACAAAAGCCTTAAATGTTTAAGGTGGCTGACATGGACCGTTTTTTTTGTTTGTTTGTTTGTTTTTTTTTCAAACCAGGGAAAAAGTGCACATATGGTCATAAGTGCAAATATTACCATCCGGAACGCGTGAACCAACCACAGCGATCCGTAGCCGACGAGTTGCGAGCCTTCGCCAAACTGTCCGCGGTAAAAACAATGAGCGAAGGGGCTTTGGCTAAATGTGGTACAGGTCCAGCTGCCATTAAGGGGGACGTCGGCTCCGAAGCAAAACGCGTGGCACCTAAACGCCAGTCCGACCCCAGCATCCGCTCGGTGGCCTGTGAACCCGTAGAGGCGCTCTCCGTCGCCCGGAAGTCTGAGACGAATTCAGTGCCTTCCCTCGTGTCTGCTCTCAGCGTGCCCACCATGCAGCCCGCCAAGAGCCACGCAGCCGGGGCGTTAAACACCCGCTCAGCCAGCAGCCCCGTTCCAGGCTCTCTGCAGTTTGCACACAACTCTCTCGAGCACATGTCCAGCATACAGTACCCCCCCATTTTAGTCACCAACAGCCACGGCGCCTCCGTGACGTACAGGGAACAGTTCCCCAAGTACGACTCAGTCAGCGACCACGGATACTACTCGCTCCACAGCGATTTTTCCAACATGAGCATGAGCAGCATGCACAACGTGGACAGTTTCTGTAGCATGGAGCACGAGCATGTGTACCAGAGAACCCCCAGCCACTGCCCCGAGTCCTGCCTCAGCCACTCCAACAGCGACTCATTCTCCTCCTACGGGGAGCTGTACCCGAGCTCTGTGGACAGCAGCCTCGAGGAGAGCATCAAGGGGCAGCAGCAGGCTCCTGCGCAGTCGAGGTTGCAGGCCTTCTCCCACGGGTTTCGCCACGACGCACTCACTAGAGTCCAGAGTTACGGACAGGAGGAGCCTAAGCAAGGTCCTCGCAAGCAGTCCGGGGCGCATCTCGCACCTCACATCCAGCACGCCACGGTGGGAGCCCGCTCCAGCTGTCCTGGAGACTACCCGCTCGCCCAGAACGTCTTGCCGCCATTGTCCTCGCAGCCGACGCGGTCTCTAGGGATGACGCGCATGGACAGCATATCGGACTCTCGGCTGTACGACAGCAACCCGATGAGGCAGAGGCGGCCGCCGCTGTGCCGCGAGCAGCACGCGAGCTGGGACCCGCTGCCCTGCGGCAACGAGTCCTACGGATATCACTCGTATCCGCTCAGTAACAGCCTGATGCCATGTTGCGAGCGGGTGATGGTCCGCAGCATGCCAGACAAAATGGAGCAAATCTGGAACTCGCCGTGGGAGAACCCGTCCGCGGCCGAGCACCAAGAGCGGTACGTCATTCCAGATCACCAGTACCAAACATACAGGAACCTCTGCAACATCTTCCCCGCGTACATCGTCCACTCGGTCATGGAGAAGAACCCTCATTTAACAGATCCACAACAGCTTGCAGCTGTGATCGTCACAAAACTGAGGTCATGCCACTGAGCAGCTTATAGAGTGATAAATAACTGAGGAATTTGATTAGAGATTAGGCATTTATTCGCTGTGGCTGCATCTGCAGCTCTCAGGAGCTTCTTATTCCGTCTTGTATTGTTGGAAATTGTGTGGATCAGATAATAGGTCTACAAAAGTGGCATATATTGGGGGTAAAAAAAAAAACTCATTTTAGAAGATGTTTTTTATCTGAAGTTTAGTGTAGCTGATATGAAAAGTGGAACTCTTTTAAAGGAACTCATTCATGACACCTTCACACCGCCTGAGCAGGAGCAGCAAGGCTACATTTGTTCACTGTCACTTTATTTTAAAAAATATCTGCAGGAGTGTTAATACGATTAATATGTATATAACTTTTTTAAGCATTCACATATCATTTCTTATATGTTTGAATGTACTCATTAAAACAGACTCGGTAGCTGATAAATGCGGTGATATGCCTTAACCGTTGCCAAATTACAACCAGAAACTTCAATGTGTTTAAGTTATGCAAAGGTGTTTTAGTCTCTTTGCATCTAATAACTCCAAATAAAATCCATTACAACCTGTTGGCTTCAGAAGTGTCAAAAAGATCTAAAAGCATTCCCCTGGTGACAGCATCATCTTCTTCAGAGGAATAAGAAGGTGGATGATCTAATGATGGCGCAGTCCTCCAAGAAAACTGGTTAGAAGCTGTAAAAAAAACTAATACTTGAATAGAGGTACACTTTCCAGAAGGACAACAGTCTAAACATCCAGCCAAAACTGCAATTGTAGGATTTATTGTTCTTGTTAGAAAAGGTCTAATCAAAGTCCAGATCTGATTTCCATTAAAAATGTGTGACATGACTTGCTGTTCAGATGCCCTACATGAAATCTGAACAAGCTTGAGATAGTTTAATGAGAATAAGGTCAATTTTAACAGATAAGGTGGTAAAAAGGTGCAACTCCAAGAGATTTATCACTAAAATTCCAGTAAAAAATACTTTTATTCACTAAGGGGGCCGAATAAGTATGCATGCCACAGTACTCACATTTTTTTTTGCAAATAATACATTTTTTTTTCATAAGCTGATATTACATCTTGACACCAAAATGAAAAGTCTTGAGAAACAATTTAATACTATATATTATTTTATGAATTATCTTGCGAGTTTAACCCTAAACACAAGGCAACAATTTGCTCGGCCACCAATCTGGTCAAGGACACATCTGTGTTTGTCCACATGTAGCTTTCCTGAAGACGCTGCTCAGGCCCTGTGAACGCGTTTTGTTTCTGGTGGCGTGGAACTATAAATAGTCTTGCTTTGCAATGCCTCTGCTGTACATAGTACTTGTGATATATAAATATATATACATATATTTTTGTGCGTTTATTTTCAAATGAATTAAGAGAGAGGTAGGTATATAGCTCACAGCATGACCTATGACTTTATGGCCTTATATCTGAATGACCTCACGCTTTAGTCATTGTCTGATTGGTTCAGGTGGACGTTGTCATTAAAGCCTCCTAATTTTCAAACGTGAAGCACTATCACAATATCTAAAGACGTATATTTTCTCAAAAAAGCTACTATTTTGGTAGGATTTGACTGTGCACAAAGCAAGCCAAACAGAGATTTGACTTGTGCACATATTTATGTACATATGATCTCACGAAAGCCATTATTTTAAAGTTATCAGCTGCTAAGAAATGCCAAAAAGGAAAAAAAAAAAAAAAAACAGAATTTCTATAGAGTTATGAACTAGCATTATCGCAATTTGTTTCTTGGGGTCAATTGGAGTATAATCAAAAATAGTTCTGTATTTAGAATTTCAAAGTTCCTTTCCTTCCTGACCTTATTATATGCAGCATTCAGGATTTGACAACGAATATATCTGTCGAATCTCTTGTGCTGGTTGTTTTCAGTGTAAAAGTCATCACTAAATGTTTGTTCAAAGCAGTCGTTCTGTCAACTTAAAGTTGTCTGTGAAGCAATTGGGTTTTCAGGAGCAGGTTAATTACGTTTCACGCTTTTACACTCAGCCAGTTGTTCTAGGTAGGAAGGAGCCAGTGCGAGAAATGCAGTGAGACCCCGGTTTCACCACAAATACATAGAACATGCTATAGAATTTAAATAAGTGTATTTCTTGATCTAATTGAGCAAGAAAATATTTTCGAACAGGCAAATTTTGACAAGGGCTCCTATTTTCCAGGACTGGATTAGTACAAAAAAAAAATCAGAAAAAATTATTTCCATACTCTATTTGTCAATCTCATTTTTAAATATTGTATGCTCCCTTCTGTGTATCTGTTCTTCCGTTTTTTCCCCATTTTTCTTTCTTCCCTTTCTTACCCTTTTTCTTTTTCCTGTCCACCAGTAATGACATCATAAACTAGTCACCGTCAGCCTCTTGTAGCTCCATGTGATTCCTTCATTTAAAGAGATGTATTTAATGAAAATGAAGGAATGTAGAGTTTTTTCTTACTCTACATTTCCTCTTTCGACCCTTCCTTGTATTTTTCTTGTTTCCTTTATTTTTTATTTGCATGTATTATTTCTTGTCTGCTTGCATTATTCATTTTTCCCTCTCCCTCCTTCCTTCCCTCCCATTTTTTTCAGTTTCCACATTTAAAGCCTGCCCAACTGTAGAAATAAATGCTCGAGTGAACTTTAGTCTTTTTCATTGTAAACTGTGAGCACAGTTTGAAAGAAGGTTTCAGTGGCTATGAAACCGTAACAGTTTCAAACCTTACTTGAGGTAGTGGGACGGTGATTCTCTGATGAAGACTGGGCTCAAAAAGTATACAGTGGAAAGTAAAGCGTTTACGGTAGAAAACCTATGTATCCGCAGTTTATAGGGGCAGCCAATCACTCACACTCTAACAATAAACGCTCTTAAGGATTTGCAGATGACTTGTAACATTTTCCCTCCCAGTGGTTGAGTTTACGTTTTAGAAGCAGACAACGCTATCTAGTTTCAGTAGGTATCAAATTTTATATGGGATAAAAACATGACTAATTGTATGCAAACTGATGTAAGTTAAGAATCTATGCTTTGTGAAAACCAATATAATGTGGTTTATCATGGTATATGTAATGAATTCATGCCTTAAGCTCATCTTTTCACCAACCTGGCTTCCTATTTACATGTCACTATGTTTAGTCTTTGAGACAGGAGTTTTCCTACTCGCTGAGGTAAACGGCGTCCTCCACGTTTGTTGAACAACCACTTAAAAGATATTAGTATGTCTGCAGTAACAGAATCTCAGACTGAAACAGCAGACATAACACGTAAAGGGAGCTTTGGAGATTTTCCTTTTCACTATTCACCATTCAACACATCCAGTTCTGCATTTTAGTTGTTCCTCTGAAAAGTCTGATGATCCAGAAAGAGCTGCTGCTTTGTGGCTCAACTTTTTAAAGTAGATTTTAAACATTATATTTTATTTTTTTTAAAATCAGGAAAGGTAGGTTAGGAGCCTTTTTTTTTTGGTGAAAGGACATGAGCTCTTGTCTTTCCAATTTTGATTAATGGCATGTCACCTTTTTTTTTTTTTTTTTTTTTTTTTTTTTTTTTTTACCCCAGTGGGACACAGATAAATAGTACTTTAAATTAACTTTTGGATTAAAGCAGTTTTTTTAGTTTGAGATTATTTCACTGCTATAAAATATTAATTAATTTTAAAGCAGTGGGTTGCTGGAATTGCAGTAGTTATTTGTTTAAACCTGCTGCAGTGAAGCAGTGTCAGCCATCACGGATTTTATATTTATCTGACGTTACATTTGCCGGATGTAAAAAAAAATATATATATATTGAAATGGGGAAAAAAAAAATCTGGTAGTAAAGGCTGTAATTATTGTCACATCTTGTAGATTGCGTCTTCAAAACTAAGCAAAAGGATTTTCTTATAAGCGAATAAAGCAAATTTAGAGGCAGAACTTCCTGTAGGGCTTTCAGTGGGAGGCTTGACTGCTAGAATACACACGTGTACAATAAGGCATTTCACATGCATACATGCAGCCAGAGTAGAAGTGGGATGAAGGCTGTGCGTTGCAGCACATTGTTCTCAGGATGCTTTCAGATTTTCCATTTAAAGTCTATTTATGCCAGAAATCATTGGTTACCGTCCACAGTGTGTTCTGATCTAGCAGTGGTTTATTTTGTGAAAAATCCTACATGTAATAAGTAGTTCAACCCAAAAGTTAGCTATGTACAGTTCAATATAAGCAATGGCATTGCAAAACTTTGTACTTTTCTGTATATTCTCTTTATGCACCTTAAGATCCTGAACAGTGAGCTATAGAGTTGAGCTTTCACGCTGTGCAACTTCAGTGGGTCATTCAGTTGTCTGTGTGAGGCACAAAGACAAAATGTGAAGTAAAGTGGACTAGAAATCTTGTCAGCGATTCAGCAGGTTCCAATCTTCTTATTTTCTTGAGCAGCTGTCTCCTCTTTGCTGCCCCCTTCAGGTCAAAGCGTGAAACAGGCAGCTGCAGAGGTCTGTGAAGTTGCACCGTGAAAGCCAAACCGCAAAGCAGGGCCACACTTTGCCTGCTTTTAAAGGGAAATACCACTCTATTTTTTTTTTTTTTTTCTGGATTCAAGAAGGTCATATATTATTGTCGTGTTCTGAGAAACTGTGGGGGGAAAAAGAGGTTCTTAAAATCCCCAGTCAGTAAGAAAAGCAGCATCAGCTTGTGGTGGTATTACTTTTTAACGGCGCAAACTGTTTGAGCCTCCCGGTGGTGCTTTAAAACATGGATTTATTTTTAATGTTTTGGGTACAACCGTGGTATATGAGCAGACAACGCATAAAGAGAGATAAAAAAAAACAAAAAAAAAACTGTTGAATGTGTTCTGCCCAAACGACGTTTTTGGGCTTTGCTGACTTTGTTTTTTTCATGAAAAAAGACGAGGCCACTTGAGGCCGTCTGTCTGTTCATGAGAAGGTGAAACAAACTGCCTAAATGTTTCTACATGTGAAACAATCAGATTGCAAAGGCTGCTGTCAAGGTTGTTTCTGGCATTTGGCTAAAAGTTTGCGTGCCATCCTTTTCCCCGGGAGATTACTGGATTATCTGAAAAAAGCGAATCTCAAACCCAGGAAACTTATATTAAACTGAAGATAAACAACAATGCTTATAACGTCTAATCTGAAAACTGGAACAGTCTTTTGCCCAGACGAACTCGGGAGTAATTACCAAACGCGTGTTAAGGTGAGCTTAGTGATATTAGACACAAAAAATGTACTTGATTGTAAAGCATCTGGTATATTGAGCATCCACAAAGAGATAACACATCCCTCCCAAGTAAAAATTTCATTGAGAATAATGCAAGTGATAATCAAATTCTGTGTGAAAAGGTTCCTTTTTTCTATTTTTAGGTGATTTTTCTCCACTTCTTTTGCATTTTGCAATTTAAAACCCTGAGCTAAATTACTACAGTTTTGTCATTAGATGAGAAAAAATCCAGACATATAGATGAGATTTTGAAAAGTTTCTCCAAAAGTAATATTTGTGTCGAGATAATCATGGGAATTCTGTCATTTTGTTCAAAGAGTCATGGCTTTGTTTTACTAGTACTAGATTAGACTCAATAGGTCAACCCTTGGATGAAACAGAAATGAGCACCGTTTGTGCAAGAATAGCAGGTACTAGAACTAGTCATTTTTTATTTCTTTTTTAAATGCCATAAAAGCTACTGAAAGTGTGGAAATTTGAGTACAACTTTTGCTATGAGAATATCCATAGGTGGACTCCAGAGATTTCTGGGCAATGGACTGCTCCCACAGCTGAAGTAAACCTCTCACTGTGGTGGAAAAACACCTCCAGTGTTCACGATGCAGAGGTTCGAACTCTAAGGCACCGTTGGTGACGTTGCGCCCCTTCCTTCTGGTTTCAATGTGCCGCAAACAGCTAAGCCACAAATGTCTAGAATTGACTTTTGCTTGTTGATACAAATTGTATCTATACCTTGAATGTATTAAAATATGAAATGTATAATATGAATATAGTTTTATTTAATTGAATGGGAGAGGGTGTAATAATGCCATAATGTTTGTGACACTATGTGTCACTGGGAGTAGCCCACTGGTATGTACTAAATCTTACTGGGTACAGTAGTTACGTTGCAGGGAAGTTTATGTGCCACTTAAAAGTGCACAGTTTCCCTGTGTACAGCAGTAAGCATCATGTCCTCTCTGTAGATAGTTACACATGTGTGTGTATATATAGAGAAATATAACACCTGGGTCATTCATATACTTCTTCAGATAATTTGTGCGTTGCAACCCATGCATCTTCTTCTGAATGAACGTTTTAATGGGAATTTTAAGTATTTTTGGATATATTTTGCCTAATGAAACATGCCAAAGTTATTCCTGGGTGGCTTCGTCAAACATAGTTTCATACGGTTTTTAGCCCACAGGCCGTCGATGAACGACTTGTGTGCTTTACACGGACACAGGACGGTGAATCCACACAGGAAGTTGGGAGTGTTACAAGAAAAAACACAAATCTGGTTTTAGCCTGGTGGTCGAAGGACTGATTCAGAATTTTCCAGGTCCTACCGAGATTTGTGTTCAATGTTTGTCACTCCGACGCTGTTAAGTTGGTGTTTATTGAAATGTTTGACAGTTGATTTAATGAGCAACCCTTAATGTTCACAAAGCACAGGCTTGTTGAGTCGTGATTTGTTTCACTATTTGATTATTTATAGTGTAATTTAGTAATTTCTGCGTCCGAGGCTGGTTTTCTTGAGGACTTTAAGGATGATGTTGCCAGTTTCATTAAGTTCCGATTGAGCTGCTGTGGGAACAGAGCGAAACCAAAGTGACTCCAGATGTGATGACGTATCTGCTGAAAACTGATTCAAAAGTGTCGTGCAATTTTGCACGGCCGTTCAGAATTGCTGGTGTACAAAATGCCACGGCGAGGCGTACACACACACACACACACACACACACACACACACACACACACACACACACACACACCTAACTCGACTTTACATAAACAGAATTCAGTGTAATACTCAGGTTTAGTCACACAAACTTTATAAATCACAGACTTTGTTGTTTTCTGATGTGGAGAAATGCAGTGGTCACCTCCGTGGAGTAAATGTGGGTCTCTTGTTTGAGTAGACAATGCGTCTACGGTGTAAAAAAAATTAAAAATAAAGTAAAAATAAAAATGACAAAAAAAGGGAACTGTACAGCAAGTTTTTGTGTTGTGATGATCAGCAGTATTGTAATCCACACTGACTGGAATAAGCATTGATTTTATAGATCAAAATGAACACAAATACTAGAGTATTTGAGTCTGTGGGCTCAAACAAAATGTAAGTCTTAATGACAAACTGTGTTTCTCCATAAATAAAGCAAACCTCTGTTCAACCATTGTTTGGTCCTTTTTTTTTTAAACTTTTGACTAAAAGCAGAAGGTTAAGGATGAAGTCACATCTATTTTTTGTTCATACATTAATGCATGGTTGTCATTACTTTGGGACTTTCGAAGACCGATTTGTAGGGCTACAACTATTATTGCAGTAATCAATTATTCTGATGACTTATCAATTAATTGGATAGAATAATTGACAATCCTTTTTTTTCAACTTACTTTATTCAAAATACAAACACATGAAAAATACAAAGAAATTTGATTTTAAATAAGATTTTTAAAAAATAGTGCCTGAAATCCAAGAACATTGGAAAAAAAAATACTTCTAAAATCAATATGTGAAGAGCTCTGGATTTTTTCTTTGACTCGTCATCAATGCCACATAGAGCTGAGCTGTTGATTTATTTGTCATTCATATCAAAAGATTTATTTTACAGAATTTGAACCAGGTGAAGATGAAAATTACGCCACTTGAGAAGTTCTGGATACGACACACTTAAAGAAACAGGGTTCTTTATGTTAAATCTAAAATATGTTTTTATGCAGTTTTGGCTTAATTGCTCCTCTGACTATATAACAAAATACCTTTTAATTGAGTTGGTATAGTCCATTAATCGGTTGTTAAATTGGTTAATTATTTCAATAATCAATTAATCGGATTAATCGTTTTGGATCTTCTGATTTCAAGTACAGGAGCACAAGATTATAATTTGTGTTCACCTTCTCCTTTCCGTTCATGCTTAAATGTATTCATGTAGACTAGAATACATGCATATGCCTACAATTGTTTTTGGATAAAGTCTGCATTTAAAAAACAACATTCTGGCTGGATTTATTTTTTTTTAACCAATCTTCTTCTTTCAACTGGTTTGTTGTGTTTCTATACCAAAATCAGCTTTAATATTTTTTAGGATAATTGTCCTGCTGAGATACCAAATAGTGTCCAAGTTTCAGCCATCAAACTGCTGATAATGAGCTAAGGTTGTGAATAATTTTTGTTACACTTCCTGCTTTTTATTTTGTTTTGGCCCATCGTTGAAAAAACACCACATTGACAATTTTGGTTTCATGTGATAGAACTGATGCGCCATCTGCTGGCAGATAGCTGCAATAGCACCAGGATTTCACCT